TAGTTATAAAGAAGCACTAGATATTTTATTTAATTCTGGGCATCTTTATATGATTTTTTTCCCCTAGTTTCCAGTCCACACTGACACAAAGTCAGCCTGAAGCCTGATGCAGGATGCAGCTATTGCTATTCAAATATAATCAAGAGGTCCTATCACCTGATTATCTCAGCAGATACTCTTAAAGTAGGGGTAATAAGTACATAGTTCTTTAGCTAGATATGTTTTCCTGATAAGACATCTGTCCTGAGAGAACCACTTTGTAAAGTGAATTTGGGGTCTATTCAAATGACATCCTCTTTATTTACAAATTTGGTGTTATCACTTCAAGTCTTTTCACTGACTTGTCTCCCTCTAATTTAAAATATATTGCAGTCTTTGGTGATCTGTGAGTATTGCATTAGTATTTACTTCTTGAATTTAATGTAGTTTTTCTTTCTTCTAAGCCTGTAGAAAGTTTTTTGTTTTGGGTTTTTTTGTTTGTTTGTTTGTTTTTTTAGCTGATTCATAGTGATGCCTTAAGTTTGAAAAGAGACCTAAATGATCAAGCGAGAAAGTCATCAACTCTTGGCACAGTATTGAGCTAGTAGATTTGAACTCAGGTGTTTAACTTCTTCTCCACTGCTCATTCCACAAATCTGAGCCAGCTTTTAGTCTTCCCTGACTTCTGCAACCTGTACCTTCCTTTATGCCCTTGAATAAGATGTGATTAAGATTTTTGTCTGAGTTTTATCTGCTACTACAGTGGTTTATCCTATTCAGACCAATATTTCAAACTGTTATATCTTTTTATTAATGGTTTTCTATAAATATCCCCAATACTTCCAAAAAGTCCATACATGTGATGGATGCGATCTATTTTTAAATCATTCATAAGTCATTGTATTGAAAACATTATTTGTAGTGCAGATTTTATTTACACTGTAAATGACATGGATCTTTAACAAGGAAGGGCTCTATTTAGTCTACAGAACTGGCTTACTTGGAAGGACTAGCTGCTGTTTGTGGAGGTTAATGGACATTTTTCAGTGGTCATTCTCTTCTTGGGGCCAGGGGGAATAGTTCTTGGAATTGTTTGTTGCCTAAGCCTAGCCACCTTTAAAAACTAATACCATCTTTCTACAAATGATGACAAAGGGAAGGTGGGAATTTTTAGAGGTTAACTGAAACCAAATTAGAGAATAGACAGAGACGAAGGACCGTAACCACTGATGACCCTGTTATCACATTGCCCTATAGTAGGTCTTTCTATAGTGTCTTTGTCATACAATCCTCTGGGTTTCTTCTGCCGTTGAACTATTCATTTCTTTAGGATATAGAATTACAGTCATAGTTAAACACATCATAGTCGAACACATCCATACAAAGTACATGGACTTTTCTATTTAGCTATTAAAGATATTACAAAGATACTTAGAACATTGGCCCTTCAGTTGTGAATATTTTAAGGTGTGTGATGAGTAAATGGAATAGCCTTACCTCTTTCGGTGGTAGAACTGTCAAAAAGAGTTTGTCTTTTTTGCTCCTCATCCCCCAAATGTGGACTATCTCAGAATCCATTACAGATGGAATAAACAGTTGATTTTAAGTTAAGGATGAACCTAACAATCATTTGCACTATATTGATGTCAGAAGTTATCTCTCTGCCAAGCTTTAAAATGCATCTTCAAAATTACTGAAATTATCCAAGAACTTTAGTGATGAGCTACAAATGGACTTTGGTATTGATAAATAAAAGTCAATATGTATAGTGAAAGGACAACTTACTGTGATGAATGGGCCCACCATCAGTAAAGATCAAATTATTGACTATTTAGGGCAAGGAAAAACCTGTCTATAGCTAACTTCTACAGGTGATAAGAATTAGCCACAACAGCAATTTAGGAAAAGCTCAAAGAGACACGTTAGGAGAATTCATTAAAAATGCATACAGAAGTAGGCAGCAACATTCTGTTAAATACATTTGTGGCACTAGGCTAATGTATTTTTTTGACTATGCCTGGGTTCACACCTTTTTTCTTTTGCCTTGAATGATCTCCCTTTGGGCTACCCATATACCTTTTCAAGGAGATCTAATTTAAAATTCACTTCCCAATCCCCCTACTACAGGCGAATTACTTCTGCATTCCTAAAAACTATGTCATTCTTGGAATATTGTCTCTAGTGTTCCTACTACTTTTCATTGTACCTCAACTAGATCACAAGTTGTATGAGGGCACATTAAAAGTGCCTTTAATTTTTTTACCCCTTGCATAGTCCATCACAGACCTCTACCCATAATAAACACTAGATCAGTATTTGTTGATTTCATTGTTTTTTGAAATGATTCATTACTGTCTGAGTTTAATGATGAAACATCACAGAAAACACCCAAAAGAACAACAGCAAAGATTAGCTTATCAAAAAAAAAAAAAAGTGGAATGGCAATGATTAACCTCTCTAATGTGGGCTGGTCCCAATTGACAGAAGGTAGGTATTTCTTCTTTAGTAAATTTAACCAGGTACTCTATAAATTAGCCAGTAAAAATGAGAAATCTTGTACCCTCTCAAACTTGGAAGTTAAAATGTAATTAAGCAAAATATCTGAAGACTAACCCTTTCTACTCTCCTACCCCCCCACAAATGACACCCTCCAAAATCCGAGGTAGATACAAAAAGAGCTGCATGGTACCTACTAGTGTGAGTCTAATGAAGATCGTGCAGCTACAACTACACCTAGCTTTCTGACTTTCTTGAGAGGCGTGGGATGTCAGTTCATGCCGGGACCACTTTTTTTGCCACTGGAAATTGTTACAGGCATTTACTTTGTTGTTTTAATACCATGCTCTCTTCCTTCTTGAGGGCTCTACATCTAGAACAGAGTCTTACTGGAAGAATAAGTAAATGAATGAGTGGATGAGAGTTTTAAAGAACAGTATATGGGACAAGTGCAATGCATTTGCCCAAATAAACACAGGTGTTAACTCACTGGCTGTTAATAATAGATTCAGCTATATGATTCATTCCCTATGATAAGTATCAATGTAAATATTTCAGAAAATTAGTAAGATATATAGAAATAAAAACATTATTAAAACAGTCCAGTAAATCTTGACCAGTGTCTGCAACTTTGGTGCATTATCCACTTCAACGTGTTACAAAAATCAGTGGATTCCAAAATAATCTGTTAGTATGATCTAAACTGAGGAAAATTAAATTAAAGGCAGCTACACCAATAACTACTTAGGCTATATGTGTCTCTCCTCCAAATTACAGACTAACCTGCACCACCATTTTACAAATAGGCACCCTTTGTACTCTCAAGTGGGCCTAATCAAGCACTGATTGGATTTAGTTGAAGATAATTCAAAGCACATACCCTCTCAGATCAGGAGGACATCTAGCATGATCCGTCTGCTTCACTCACTCGTTCACTCATTCATTCCACAAGTCTTTTAAGAATACCTCCTATGGCCCAGGCAGACAGAGGTACATAAAACAGAGATGGCACCTACTTCCATTTTTTTTTTTTTTTGGAAAATTTAAATGCCAGAATTTCATACATTTGCCCCATGTTTTGTTCTCAGATAAAAGGTTTCAGAGCAGTGAATTCAAACTCTATGCACACACTTTCACAGAACAGAGGAGAACTACCTGTGTTCTGAGAGGATTGGTGAAACTTATGAGAATATTTGAACCGAAATTATGTTCCTAGTCTCCTTCAAAGTGTGTATATTGTGGGCTTCAGGTTATGATCACCAATGCTATGTACACTCCGTGGAAATAAGATGAGGAATGTGAGAGGCGTGAGCTCTGCTCATGCTGCTTTGGACCTTGGGTGGCGTTCCTTTGTGTCACTTACTGAGTATGTGTGTGAAATGACACAGCCTTCAGACTTTGCTCCATCATTTCCTAGTGGAGGTTTAGGAACAGCGGCCAGACCTACTCCCCTGGGCCAACAAACATATCATTTCATGTATGGCTTATATATTTTCTTGTTTGCATTTATGGCCTATAAATAATATGTTGTGTGTGCTATCAAGACCTGAAGAGACAGTAGTAGTGTTTACTGCAGCAATTTGCAATAGATAAAATTAGCAGTAGTCAATAATATACATATTTATGTAGTTTGGCTTCAGACAAGTAAGTATGACGTATTTATATTATTGTGGTCTTGCTTTGTTTTGTTATTCACTGACTTTTTTTCATGAAGACAATGTCCACTTTTCCCGACAAGTGATTCCTTGAATGAATAGAATATGGAAATATGCTACTTATGGAGATAATTGAGACCAAGTATTACAACTTGTGCAAAAATGTGGAAACTTGAGTCTGTTTCTCTAACAGAGCTAGAGGTGTTATGTGTTTATAGGAAGTTTTAGATTTCTGTGCTCATTCCCGTTTCTGTTCATAATTCATACTCAGAAGATGACAGATTGTCTGAAGTCACCATTCAAAACATTGGCCCTCCTTATTAATCATTTGCCAACTATTCTGTACTTTAAATTTTATTTACATAGGGCTTTTATTTATTTATTTATTTTTTGGTGTTTGAAGTTTCTCATTTGATGAAGGAGAAACAAAATTTATAGAAAGTGTTCATCAGCTGTGATTTGTGTGACAAGACGAACCACCGCACCCATGCAGAGCTGCTCTTTTTAACTGACCAGCCCCATGTTCTTCGTCTGTGTCCTATGGCTGTTAATTGACGATATTGTTTTAGATTTATGCATTAAAAATATGATTTCTACTTTGGAGGGATCACTTTGTTACTTTGTAGCTTTTAAGCTGATGCAATGAACTTATTTTTCTTGTAAGATAAAGTCTCATCTATAGATTTTTCAACTAATTACATGTCTTCCGATACATACTTAGAGGGTACATTTTTTTTCAATTTATTATTTGTGTTTACATAGTGCGTCCCTGGAAATATCTGTGGAACTGAAAGGAAATGTTTTAATGGTGTTTATTACTACTTTTTCATCGCTCTCTCTCTCTTTTCTCTCTCTCTCTCTTTTTAATAGCTCCAGTCAGTCCGGTCAAGCATGACAGCAACTCAAACTCGGCAAACTTCCAAGACACTGAGGACATGCCTGACAGATGCGTTTTGGAAGAGTCTGAGAGTCCAGGTGAAAGCCATTTAAAAATAGTCAAGTATAAAATGATAAATTTGACACAGCTTTGGGGTCCTTGGAAGGGGGTGGCGGGGAGGACATTGTAATGCTGTTTTCTCTTAGCAGCTGCGCTATCAAATTAATGGTCACCTCCAGGGGTCACAGTGTGGAGCTGTTACCTTTGCCTCTTTCATCAAGGATTCAGTTGGAGGAAGTACAAAGGCTTTATGACTGAGAAGGGAAGCTGACACTATTAGTTCATTATCATCAATTTTAGGCTAAACTGGTTAATAGAGGCCGAGATTGAAAACTGGAGAAATGGCAGCATTTTAAATATTTCAAATAATGGGACTGAGCGGAAGCGGAGAGTTAGACACAGATTGCCATCATTACAGTCTATTCACCTTTCTAAATACAAACAGCTCTCTAACGGGGACTAAAGGATTTTAGCATAACAGTAATGGACTCATGGATACGTCAACTATTGAGAACAAGCAGAACAAAAGAAAGTGATAACCCTTCCTCATGCCATAAAATTTACCCACGTCCCAAGTTACTTAGGTTTGTGTTTTCTTTGTAGAGAGAATAGACAGAAATGTAGCAGAAGGATAGAGCCAGAAACACTTAAGCATAGATTTTTGTTTCTGTTTTTGTCTTGTTTCAAAACATGCCTAGTCTTTTAACAACTAATTAATCAAAAGAGAAAAAAAAAAATCCTGTGAAAGTTGAATGACATGTCCGGATCACTACAAAGCCATAAGGTGCTAGAAGTTTCCTTATTACCATGAGTGAAAGAGTTAACTCTCTCCTCCCAATGAACGCTTTCCTTTCCTGTTTTCTCTGGCTGCTGTGTACCCTCGACCCTCTTGCATCTTTGTGTGCTGATCCTTGTATCAGATTTTTGATTCATCCTCTCTGTGGCCTGTCAGCTTAGTTAAGAGATTTCCAAATCTTGTAGCCTTCGCTGACAGGGGGCAGCTGCAAACAGTCCCCTGATCCTTCCCCGAGGAGAGCTACTGAGATTTAATTTTCAGTGAAAGGTGCAGCCTGCAATCTATGTCAGGTCCCCTAAGTCATCTCGGAACCCCAATAGGCCCAGTGGCGATGGCATTGTATTTCAGTTCCCTCCACTACGCCAAGAGTCCTCAAAAGATGTACTGCTGCCGTATGTCTCTTCTCAACCCCACTTCTGCTTTAGCATCCCATGGAACTGAGAAATGGCATCTTTCTCGCTGACAGAAATTTTTAATCAGAACGTGAACCCCACATCCTGCCCTAATATCTAAGAAACAAATGTAGGTTGGTCCCACTCCAAAAGGGAGAAGGTGCTGGTAGCATTAAATGCCCATCAAAGTGTTTTAAAATTGCTTTTAGTTTTGACAAAAATTACCTACTTTTGACTAGATTTTTAAACTGTCTTCATAAACAGTTTCCTATCAACCTGAGGCAGTTAAATCCCTGAGTCAAGTTTTCACCTAAGTGTTCATTGTTTTTGGCAAGAATAGATTGGCTTTATGTCATCTCAAAAGTAGAATACATTTCAGGCATCCCTCAATATGAGTGGAATTGTAGTAAAATTCAGATATTCCATAGTTTATCTGATTGATATAAACAAAAGGGTATTATCAAAACAAAGATTAATTAGAAAAGATAGGTACTGATAAAGAATCTTAACTTAAAAAGTGAGTACTGTTCTTTACATCGGACATCATTAAACTGGTAATAAAGAATGAATTACTCTGGCTTTTTCCTCTGTCCATTCCTGCATTTTAAGACATCTTGCCTTATAGGCCTAGAAACCTCTGGAGAGTTCACTACTGGTCTCACTGCCTTCCACTGAGAATTTGTGGCTTGGTTGTCATGGAGACATCGTATTTCTCCAAGAATTGCTCATATTGATCCGTGGCCAGGCGTAAATGGCCAAGCGAGTGTGAGGAATAAAGGGGGCTGGGCAGTCCTATAAAATGACCAGGGCTTGTGGGTTGGAAATAAGCTCATAGCAAACACTTAGGTAAAAAGAAAGAAGCAGTTTTATTTTGTTTCAGGATTTCTTTCTGCACTTTGGGCCATTGTCTTCTTTCACTATGAACTGAAAGAAACTTGTTAGTCACTTGTCATGTCAGATCTTTGGTGCTTGTCCTGACACAGCTGTCAGCCTTCCAGCTCTGTGCAGTTCAGGGACACACAACAAAGAGGCAATGACATGAATTATTTATTGCTCCTTGTGTGGATAAAATTCTGTGATAAGAAATTAAGACACTTCTGACAGAGGTGCTTGTTTAGTAAGAAAGATTTTGATGAGAGAGTGCACTTCCTTGAAGTATGAGCATTTGAGACGGAAAATTCTTAAAACTGAACCCGAAGGAAGGTTGTGAAATTGGTGGCGTAGAGGGACTTTCTTGAACCGTGAAAATATGACTGTCCACGTCTCAGTGTCCAAAAATGAACTAAAAAAATAACAAGCTATTCAAAGGGAGAGGCTCCAAAACTATAAATGTTACTTTCGTGGTTGAGTTACCTCTGTTTACCAGGTATGCGTGGGGTTCCTTTGGAAAGCACATTAACCACCTTCGTTAGAAGAGAAGGCAAATTTGGGGGTTTTAAGGGATAAGCTTTGGGAAGGTGTCGTCAGACCAATAGAGGTGCTTCAGTAGCTGAGCTTCTAATTGCATTGGTATATCCGTTATTCCCTATATGGACAGGAGTGCATCTAAATCTGAACGCATCATTCTTACCATTTTCACCTGGCATATTACCATTCACTTAAAAGTCCTTTTAGTATTTTCATGTACACGCAAAATCCCCCCGTTACAAAGTTGAATGTGGTCAGTCTTCTAGCTTTAATGGTTATTGACCTTACATGGTTTTATCTATGCAACTCTAAATGACTAATATATTTATTGCATCATTTTTAATGAACAAACCAGTTGTTCAAACGGCATATAGAAAATGAAAACAAAAAATCATTTTCCCATCCAAGCACAGTTCAAGAATATTGCCTCATATATTGTTCTTTCCAAATAAAATCTTTTCTTTGCAAATCCCCTGAACATCATTCTTCTTTGCCTTTAGAGCTTCATATCGCTGATACCAATTCCTTTCCATATGCAGAGAACAAAGGGATACTGAAGCACAGAAAAACTATAATAGTTTACTTTTTTAAAGGGGAAGTTAAAGTTTTCTAAACATTGATGCAACATTTGAAAATGTCATTAATAAAATCAAAATGTTAAGTTTATATAAAAAGTAAGATTGACTTTATGTGTTGATTATCTTTGAATGCAAAAGGTTTTGAACTCAATCTGCAGATTGTTTATTTTTCATTGACATAACTGCTTCTTCAGCACTGAATTGACGAGGATGACCCATTTGTAAATGGGCCGGAGTGTGCATATAAGTCACAATTTAGAGGACTGGTAGAGTGGTTGTTCACCTGGTCTTTAGAGCACTCTACCTATTCCTCATGCCATTGTGATCTCTTTTTTGGTTCAAGCTGTATACCCAGGTGAGTGCCTGCAGTCCATTAAGGTTGGCAAAGCAACTTTAGACCAGAGCATTCTTGTTACTCTGACCCTGCTAGTGAACCTGGAGGTCTTGTCTGATAGGTTAAGGTCTCCCTCAGCAGTGTCTTTTCCCTGGAATAATTCATTAGCAAAGAGTTTTGACTCACAGGTGAATCCCAGATTGAAGTTTCTGGCTTACACTCTGTGAAGTCTACTTGCTTCTTCACTGGCATTTATACATTCCCAAAACCTGTGGGAATAACTTTGATGTCTAGTAATAGAAGCACCGAGACAACATTGTGAACTCACAGCTCCCTTTTTTTCAGATTTTAGGGCCATTAGGCTTTCTTTCTTTGGCTCTTTAAAGCCTCATCACTCCTGAATCTGAAAGATGCTGTCACAAAAATAGTTTAGTGCAGTCTCTTGCTGATTAACTTCTTGTTAACTGCTTCATGCATAATGATTAAAGCTCAATTCCTATTCTCCCGAATATCATAAAAAGTGTTCCTTGTCCCCCATCTTTGCACTCATGATGATAAAAAATTTAGTGTGACATTCACAATTTTTATCCAAGTGTTAATGAGAGACCTTGAGCTTTTATCACCTTACTGTCTTGGAAAATTAAGAATTTTACTTCCTAGTGCACTAGGGACAGTGCACTTAAACATAGCTTCAGCTGAAAATAGTAGTGATGAGAGAGCTTGAAAGTAGCAAAAAAAAAGGCATTCACATCAGCGTTTTCACACATCTGAAGTAGTTTATAATCAGTATGCATTCTGACATTAATAGAACATTTTAGTGGTTTTTATATAGCACGTTATGTGTATAGATCTATATACATCATTGTCAATCAATATTGCATTTGCATGAATCTGATGAACAAAACTAGATTTCTCACAGTTTCCAGGGGATGTACTACATTGTGAAAAGCCAAGGCGAAGGGTTTTTTTTTTTTTTTTTCCCTTTTACTATTCTAGCTCATGAATCAACAGCAAAAATCGGGTAACAGAAAATAGGACAGATTCAGGACTGGAGTGTTGGAGATGGCTGATGATGATGCATGAAGCAGAAAAAATGTGGAATGTGTGAGCAGCCCATCAATCATAGCTATCAAGAACACACTTCTTAGGGTTAGTGCTAAAAAAAATGTTCTAGAAGGAGTAAGAACAATTTCTGTAGTAAAAACACATAAACCCCTTCTTCTAGTTGTGTTGAACAATATCAACATTCTTAAAAAGTTGCCCAGATGGAAAAATGTAAGCATCAACCTAATAATTTTTAAAACGTAAAATTCTAGGCTTATACACACACATATATATTTAAATAAAACAAAAAACCAGCTTTTTGAGTCTTCGCCAGTAGGAGTGGGAGTTACTATGCATGATCATGTCATTAATATAAATGTATTTAGAAATAGATTACTAAGGCACAGTGCTCCAATATGTTTCCTAGTCAAAATAATTTAAATCAAGTGATACTTTTTAGCCTACATTAACAACCATCCAAGTAGTCTGAGAAATAAATGCTTTTTTGATTCTATAATTCAAACCATTTTTCAACTAACATTTATAACCTTTGATCCTAAAATTGCGGTTGTGGGTTTCTCTGAGAGCAACAGAGATAATTTGAAATTTATTAATTTTTGGCCCAAATCATCTTGTTGAAAACTTTCATCTTTGTTGACAATTAAAAGAAAAAACAACCTATATTAATAATGTGTGCAATTAAAATATATTTATCTGAAGCCTAGTTTATAAGAATATTTTTTATTATCTTAAAGGATAGAAAAGAGATATAGAGATATAGAAATTATAGGTAAATCTGTTCTTCCTTCATTTATTTTCTCATTCCTTTCTTCCTTTCATTCTTCCATCTCTTTTTCCATTCCTCTCTCGCTTTCTTCCTCCTTCCCTCTTTCTTTCTTCTTTATTTCACGATATAACCTGATAATCTGTTTCCTTTCTAGGTAAGCCAAGGCATCATTCGTGGATAGCGAAGGTGTGCTCCTGCAAGCTGTGCTAAATGGAATCTTACCTATAGGAATTGGATTTGGACAAATGATGAAACCTAAGCATGCCATTTGTTTATTGTTGTATAAAAACTATGCTGTTATCGGTCAAGTTATTAGGTTGTAAGTAGATATGCTAATACTTTGGAAAGAGTGTATTGAAAATGTAATTACTGATTGAAAATATCTGAATTGATCTACTTTTAGAAAATCATTGTTGAAATCATTTTATATTCCTGATTCTTACTTTCCTTTAAAATTAACAACAAGGAATGCCAGTCTGCAGACATAAATTTAACAGTTTTAGATTTTCTTCCATCTTTTCAGTTGCTGGATTATATAAGCAACATTAAAACCACATTGCTTTTAAATATGTAACATACAGTACTTCCTCAAATTTAATACTGCTTCATCTAATCTAAAACTTTACCAGACTTATTCGATTTGTTAGGTTAGGACATTTTGTTTTAGTATATGCTTTAATATGGATCAGTCACCCTGCAGTAAATCTCATCAAAGCATGAAATGTTGTCAACAAATAGCCAGTTCCATTTAGTCATCAATTAGCCCAAATAAGTGGTAGTATAACAGGGACCAATCTTGTGTGGTCAGGTTCATTTGGACTTCTAATGACATAGAAGCTAATGTCTTTAGCCAAACGTTGATCTTGTTGGCCACATAGATGTGAACTATATATCTACTTACAGCACATTGCAGTTGATCCATATTAAGTATAAACTCTTGTAGTTCTTTTCCCAGAAAGAAGTGTGACTAGCAAGAATTCTTAAAATATGCAAAGCAATATAAATAGGACAAAGTGCTCATCTATTAAACCCCTTAGTGATCTGATTTATTTGTTGTGACTTATATTGCATAATTCCTGGATTTATAGAAAATCATCAAAAAGATTAGTGTGTATATGAATACAAATATTGCCTAATCCATAAAAAATGGAAATAAAATGTTAAATATATGATCTATCTATCATCTATCTATCTATCTATCTATCTGATAGGGAAGTTCCAATCACTTCAATTTAACAAACATATTTGAGGCAGTAGCATCAGGTCCTATGCTGGGATGCAATGGGGAGATTTGAGAACTATACATTGGAATGGCATGGTCTCCACCTTTAAGGAACTTATAATTAATGACTCACCCGGATGAATATACCAGAACATAGACACCTAGTGAGTGTGACTCCTTTAAAGCAGACATAAATCTGTGTTCTTTTTTCCCCCCCTAAAATATGTCATTGCTTGAAATTACTTTTGAATTGTACTTCACAGAGTAAAATATTGTCAATATGAATAATCACAGAAAATTATCATCTTTCGAAAATCATCCTATATACCACCCCCCCCCACATACACACACATTGGAAATAGTTCAAAGCTACTTGGAACAAGTTTTAAAATAAAGGAAGGTAGCAAGGAAAATATCGTCTTACATGCTGTGTATAGGTTCTGAAGGCCATTACAAGAAGGAAGGCCAAGAACATTTTTGAAGGTGGCAATATCAAATATGTATATATTCTCTTAAGAGGGCAATTTTAATAGTTAAAACTTACTTGGATGCTCAAGTTCTGGTATATTTATTAAAAATAAGCTGCTTTGTTTTTATAGCTTGGCTCTATTATTCCCTTTTCAGTGAAGATTAAAAATAAGTTTAAACAGTTGCCATATTCAGCATTTCCCAGGTCTAAGGAAACCAATATTGAATCCTTGATAAATATTTTATGATATCACCAGATAAAGGAAATTAGAACTGGCATAACCATGACATTACTAAATGAGATCTTTTAAGATTTTTTTTGGCATCACATTGTGCAATTGCTAAAATTTAATAATTCATATTAAATGAGTAATTATAATCTTTTATCAATATGAATTCTGGAGGCCAACACCATTGGCTGTTAAAATTTCTAATTCCTAAAAATTAGAGTTTTAGAGAAAGACATTTAAATAATGTTCTCAAATATCCATGTGTAAATGTAGACAAATCCACGAGTCTGTTTAAAAATGATTTCTTTATATTGATTTATGTTCAGCATGTTTCAGCAATGTCTCTTGTAAGGAGAACTTAAATAGCAAGTTGCCACCCAATTAACTGGATCAACCACATGGTGACCCTAACCTCTTGGCACCACAGCTAAAAACCCAAAACTGATGGCTTCTTGAATAGGTATTTATCCTTTCTTGGCCTAGCCTTAGGTAACAAGTGGAGCAGTTATATTAGCAAGCAACTCATTTGTTTGTATCCAGAGTTTTTCTTGTTGTGGTAATAAATAACTCATTTAAAAAATCGTCTTGTGTTCCTCTTCTGGCATTAATCTTGGTGATATTTATGATTATCTAGTTCCCTCCAAGGAATATCATATTTTCAAATTTGCAAGTGGGGATTCTATTACTCACTGTGGAGTTATATACTGGCTGTATTGCTGAGGAAAGACTCCAGAAAAGAATGTAAGTTTAAGGACCAAGGTCTCGCCACCCTGTGTTCAGATAGTGCGTCTAAAGCTCCCTCCCAGGGTTCGGGCAAAGAAAGATGCTCCACAAGATGGTTTATGGAAAGCAATCTGAATTGTAAAGCACTTCAAATATAAGGTAAAATTTATTATATTATAAATACACAATTAGAGAGGTGGCCTCAGGCCTGAAACTTTCTGTTGCTATTTTAGAAACTAAGTTAAGGCTACTTTCAATATGTCACCATTAGAAAAATGATAGCAAAACATTTTGCTGAATATTAACATTCTATCTCTAGATGGTAGTATTTGGGTGATTTTCATTTCCTTCCTTGCACGTTTCCCTCCAACGTTCTGTATTTTTAAAAAAATTATAATTATTCAAGTGAACATTTTAGAAAAGACAGTGTTTCTCTTCAATCTTTAGAGGGCACATTATAATAATTGAATTTTTAAGAATTCAGTTTTATGCCATGTGTTTAAAATGAAGGCTCAGAATACATTAATTCCAATTGATTCTGAAATCTTATTTCCACAGAATGGGCTTATTCATGTAATTTTTGAAATTTTATATTGCACACATTTTGATTCCACAGTTATTTAAAAGCACGACTATGTACACTTTGATTCTCCACAAAATCTTGTTGTACATGTCAAGTACCCAAAGTTGTGTCTAATTAAATATGAAAGTCATTGCTTTGTAAATATGTACACAGTGAGCACTTTAAAATAATTTCAAAATAGCATGACCAAAAAAGTTGCAAAGTTAAAGCTGTCTTGAGTGAATTTCTGTCTGACGAAGTTATGTGGCTTTGTGTACACTGGTCCCCAGACCATTTTGTGCTGTGATTTCATCAGCAAGGAACCTACAGATGGCATGTATGCGAAAAGCGCAAACAAGAAATGAGCAAGTCTCCCAGTATGAGCATGCCACTGGGGGTTTCCATCCAACCTGCGACCCCTGGAAGACACAGCGGGTCACCTCATCTCATCTCATTGGCAGACTGGGACGGCACCCTCATTCCTGTCACCCTCATCCCAACCTTCTCAGATCCCATTTTATTTTAAATTTTGATATCATGGATTGGGGGTATTAATCTGACTTATTACAATATTGTATTAAAATACATTTATCCTGATTACTGAGTTTTTGGCCACCCCCTAGTCAGGCCCTGTTCATTAAGTCTGGATAGATTCACCTTTATCCCAGAAAGTATACTGCAGGTAAATAGGCTGTGACAATTCAAATGGTAAGAAATAGTTATTTTAATATCTTATGAAAACTAAAGTCATAGACCATTGAGAATGTTTGAAATGGCTTACTTCTAGTGGTGTACAGGGGGAAATACTGGGCATCTATGGTTCTTCCTTTTGACATTGTTTCTCCAAATGCTTTTTTTTCATTGCATAGAGCATGTTTTCCTATCATCAATTTTAGGGATCCCTTCTGTCTTCAACACACTACTAATTGGGAAGGTAGCAGTGATTTTCATTCAAGGATCTAAGGTTTTAAACACCAAGTATTCATAACATTAAACAATAGCAATAAGTGGTTGGTACTTGCTTGCAAACCTATCATTTCTTCACTTTGCAATTATTTTAATTGCAATTATCTATAAAGTCATAATTGGCTTTTCAATTTTGCATGTGGATTTTCTAGGGAGAAGGTGTTTTCACACAGCCTCAGTAACTGAGCATCATGTTCTCAGATGCCATCTAAGACAAAAGAACAGTCTATGATGTGTTCTTGACATATCACAAGTTTCCTTTAGACTTTTAAAGAGATTTTCTGTTAATTGTGCAATGGGGACTACATTTCCTAACAGAAATAATCTCTCTTATCTATATCAAAAGAATTCTCCATCTATGTTATCTCCCTCTGTATCAATTTATAATCATAATCAACAGAGAAACAGTATTTTAATTTTTCCTTTGTGTTTTAAAGAGTG